AGTATCCCCGAGTGATTAGCCGTCACGGCAAGCAACACCTAGTTTGCGGTTAACCAGATCCGATAAAGATGCTCACCATACACAACGCAGAGACGCATCTGGCAGAATGTAACTCCGATTTACCCTAGAGACCAACGAATCCGCTGTAGGAATCAGAAACGCAAACCCCAGAAACGGAGTATGAAACCATACACCGCATCGTGGTGAGCCCGGTGGAAGCAAACATATTTACCCCTATAGAAAACTAATGCTGTGAGGCTCGAATATTGGATTACATAGAGATCACTGTTGGTGAAAGTGACCTAACTGCACTGGTCACCGCTGTCCTGCAGGCAAGTTAACTAAACTGACCTCCGACTGGAAGGGGACGCGAACAGAGATTGATTGACTCTTTTCACACCTCGACAGAGAGCCTGTGGAGTGTATATGAGTTGAGGGATACGTGAGTGGCCCCAAATCTGATAACTGATTCAACGGTCTCCATTTGGATTTCCCTAATCACATAATTGACATCCTCAAGAGAGAGAGAGAGAGAGAGAGAGAGAGAGAGAGCAATAACTGCTTGTTTCAAAGAGCATGGTGGCGGTCCCCCAAAAGCGATGAGATCGTGCTTTCGGCCTGAAACAAGTAGTGTTTAAAGTGAAATAGGAGTGAAAAAATACGACGAGGTTTGGAGACGAAATCATGAGAAACCAGAATTTCTGGTTAGTAACACCATCAGAATACAGAGTTTCGAGACAAAACGGAGCAGAACAATCTGGTCGACTTATCAGAAATGAATTATACCGCAGTTGGTTGCATCAATTGAAGTAGATATGCTCAACCAAACCCGCACGAGATTATGCATGAACTACCTTCTCGTTCACCCCGCCTCCACACCCAGAACTGTACGATCATCAGCTCGATTAGGCAATCGGGTTTGCTGAGCATCCAGGAGGTAAGAGCCACGTTCGAAGGGTTTATGACTCCAAATGGACATCAAATCTCAATCGATTGAGGTCTCGAAGTAAGTAACCTCCTATTCTGACCTGGGCAATCGAGCAGTATAATTGTTGTGTACTGACTGTTGCTGAGACTGCTATCGCACCACCAACTTCCGAGCCAAAGAAGAGAACACAATCAAAATGGCACAGGACAGTTTATTTGAGAAACAAGTGTCTTCCTTTTTGTATCGCCCTTACGTGTTAGCATTATTTCTTCTTTATTGCATCCGGTGCGCTCTTAAAGTACGATATCAATTGACCAATCAGAGTCGTCGAACCGCCCGGTTGATTGCGCTGTCTGACCAATCAGAAACGTTTTACCGTCCGTGGTGAAATACGGTCATCGATCGTTTCGGGCCGGAGACTCACCCAGCTGCGGCTTTTTTCTTTTGGCTATGACATGACTTTTTCAACCGGATTTTTTTAGAATTTAACTATCCTGACAACAATCAACCAAACACTGACAGAACTGAGAAAAATGCCGACTGCATTTGTAAATCTTCACTTATACAGTGACGGGAACCAATCTGCTTCAGACCGGCGAAGATTTCCAATGAGAAGAACTGAAGTCGGTTTTTTGGCGGACAGACAAATCTGTGCCTCATAATGAATCGATTGAAAAAACATGTTCCCACGGTCATCTATTTTATTCTGAGATATAATTCAATCCAGCCAGCCATTTTTGAGGCACCTGCTTCTTGTGAAGTTGGAAATGATTTACTAATTGAGATAATTTGTTGTGTTAGCGATAGTGAACACAGAGAAAGAGGAAAGAGAAAGATAGAAAATGAAGATGATACGGTTCGACAAAGCCCAATACCACTCACCCTGGTTTGTTGCGGCTGATGATATCCCGTTTGACATGGCATCACCGGAAGTAGGCCGATCGTAGATCAACTGAAAGATCCGAGGCACATCTTCGGCCGGTTGATGATACAAATCGCATAGATTGATCGAACGCACATGATATATGGCAGTAAGCGGTAACTCAAAAATGGTTGTCACGGCTTGAATACGTGACTGTCTGGACAATGTGCCCGTACCGAGAGACGGACCAGTGCCGGAGGATGTGCCCGCGACTGCGGACGAATTCATCTCGGGCATGTAGTGTGATAAAACGAGGTGTGTCATGGTCAGCTGGAAAAGAGATATCCAAAGCGCACCAGTTATGCATAAATAGGCCCGGATGAACAAGCAAACTGTACAATGATTGATTTATTTTCGTCACCTATAAAATAAGCCATACATATTTGTGTTGACCTCTCAGTAAAATTATTCGTATGATCCAACTACCCTGTGTGCGGGTGCTTCTAGGAACTTTTCCAAATCACCAATCACATAAAATCGACCTTGCGGTAGAAACTGAATCCAAAGTAATGAAAATACCATATAATCATCATGATAATCATTCTTCGAGGTTGATTTATCTCAAACTAACACACATATACACACACACATACAGGTGTGACAATACGTGAAATGTCCTGTGTGTTAGGTGCGTTAAGCAGGATTTTGATCTCCGGACCCTCAAGGTCTAGAGAGCTGATGGAGAAAAATGAATCCCGATAGTTGAACTTCTATTTGGACAAAACAGTCCGTTTAATGCGTTGCGGTTTTTCTTTTTTTTCCATACTAAAAGAGATTAGAGAAGAACCCGAATCTGCCTGGAGTTTAGTGCTTAAACATGATAGTAGTCCCGGAATGCAAGGTTCCAGTGATCAGAGTGCAATGATAGNAATGATAGTCTCGTTCAAGGGATAGCTTTTGAACGTTTAACCATTCTCCAAATCCAGCATTAACGTTCTTTGAATGATTGATCGATCGTTCAAAAAGAAGTGATGATCGTACTCCAAACCCTAGAAGTGATTATTGGTAAGGTAAAATATATCGATTACCAGATAAGTACAATGATTTAAGGGGAAAACGAGAACGAATGACTGGTCTATGCGGAAATTACATTCGAAATAGTTCTTAAATACCAACTGCGTTTGCTCGCGCCTCTCAATGGATATCGTAGTGACTTACTCGGGCTACGCGTGGCTCCCAGCACAACTTCTTCTTTCCACGATGTTTCACACCCAACTCCAACACACCATGAATAGTGAAATCTGTCGGATCGGCCAGGATGCGAATCGGACTCGGCAACAGGTCTGTGCGGACAGGTGAAAATGGACCATGGACGGTGTGGACATATTTATCACCCACAGAATTGTGCCTCATCAGAGAATCACGTGAAGCTGGCACTTCCGGAGATGACTGCGGTTTGTGTCGTTGATATAAACCCATGAAGAGCGGACGGAGGGGGAGTGGAAAAAGTGAAACGGAATGTCTGAGTTTATGGGGCTGAAGAAAAAACATCGTCCTAATAGAACTGAATGTATATCAGATGAATACCGAGATGTGTAACAGGCACGGGACTGATCGAGGATAAACGTTTCCGAAATGAACGAAACGCATTGTCTTTAATAATTGAGTGAATGCACAACAAGTGACGTGGTGAAACATACACACCCACGGGATGAGTAACTGCATTAGAGCCCTCTCTCAAACTGCCAAAATCGAAGGAAAGTGAATAACAGTGTAGTTAGGGGATCTATGTTGCGAAGGTTGATCAGTCTATACTGGTAGTACCCTCCGCTCCCAAATACACCATAGATTACCCTTGAATTCACTTCACTCACGTGGTTCGCCTTATGTGCAGATGTTCAATCCGTTTAGCGAAATGACGCTATCAGGACTCAGTCACGAAAGAACATCGACTCTGCGTTCATCATGATGAAAACAGAGTTCTAATTCACAATTATCCTCAGTACTACAGCGTTTACTGAGTCTATTTAGATTTGTTATCAACACTGTAACTCAGTGGCACGAAGAAACATTTCAGTAATCAATGAGTACTTTTATCCGGGTAGCAGTGAGATGTCTAAACGGCAGGAGGCACAGATAAAACGTTTTTAGTTAACTAAAATCAACAGGCCAAGTTATTCAGAGTTCAAAAGGAATTTGTGCATTTTGCCATTCAAGACATAATGTGCACTATGGCCATAACAGCTGTGATGCCACAGCGGAGTAGAATATTCTCTCGATTTGATAAGTTGGAGGTTCTCGTCTGAAATAAATGCCTACAAAATGTCTTCTTAGTTTTCGGAATATCGTCTGATTTTGTATCCATAGACAGACCGTGGAAATACCTATGCAGGTCTGGGGGAGAGATTATCACTCCATGGACGCTACAGAACAGCCAGGCCTGAGATACCCCAAATGCACAAGAGCCCCAACACGCCGGCTACGAATCGGATTCATCAGTCTATCGAAGCATGTACCTTTTAAATTTTTCAAAGGACAATTAGAGCAATTTTAAATAATTTTTATTTATCATTACGTGCGCAGACAGTTCTATCACACACACAAACAACAAGGACATGATCGAAACAGTTGGCACATGTTGGCAGACGCAATATATCCTGAGACGGTTACAAATCTTCGTTATGTGATTCCAGTGATTAGCTGATGAGTTATGGGCCGTATATCGGACTGGAAACAAACGAACATCCCATTTTCGTCTTGGTCAACCGGTTAAATCGAAAAAGAGAGGAGCATCGAACAAAGATGCATCTTCGAAAATTCACATACCGAGATCGAAGAGGCCATATGTACGGTGGATGAAGGACCAAAGGGTTTTTGTCCGATCAATCCATTATCGACAGAATGTATGACAAACGGCTTTGCCCGATTAGATCCGTAAGATTCCGGCCAACTGCGCAACTGGACCGAACCGGGACGTTGACTGCCACCGAGGACAGTATCACTGTTCTGTCGTGAGTGTGACGGCTGTCCAGACGCCTCACCGGTAAGTTGAGCGATTTGCATCTCGGCCGCTTGAAGACGTGATTCCAACATCTGGGCATGCGAATGAGCCTGGAACATTCATACAGGGGTGATTCAATCAAACAAAGCAAATGGGATGAAAAGAAACTTAAAAGAGTCCCATTCAAACAAAAATCGTCAGTGAAAAAAATGAGCTGGATCTCGCCAACATGCACGCCTCCAAACGTCGCAGTATAGTAGAGAGTGAGTGTCTCGGACTTCGAAATGGCCATGGCTCACGAACTCCTACCCACTGCCCTCCCGTGGCGGTGTTAACACTAAAGTGGGGAAAATCGATTATCAACCCCGTTTATTAGAAGGGCTGTCGCAATGTCTGGTACAACCACCGGAGTATAATTCTGATTCCAAAAGTGCCGAGAATGTAAGCGTTCGTTTTATTACGCGGAAAGGGAAATCCGAGAAGAGCAGGCTGGGTTTCATGTATGTAGTAGTTGCATAGACGAAATATTCATCCTTCATAAGCTGCTAGAACGCAGTCACATACAGACGAAAAAATATCGTCCTCCTTTTGGACATACGAGCAGCCTTCGACTCTATCGCTCACCTTGCACTGTAGAACCGCTTGCGAAGAGACGAAGTACCCGAGAAGTATGTCCTGGTTCTAAAAGCACTCTACTGTCAGACCTTGGGGAAAACTAGGCCCTATGGTGAACTGCCACCCTCGATTTGTCACCAGTTGAGTACGACATGGTTGCCTCATGCGTCCGTTTCACTCCAACTTCTCCATTGATGATGTTCAGCAAAAAGCGTTACGAAAGGGAGCGTCGAGTNGTCGAGTTTTTTCCGGAAGTCGTAGATTTTGAGTCTGCCGATGATATTGCATCACTAAGGGAAAACTCACCGGTGATTCAAAACATGCTGATATTGATATTGTTCGTTACAATATGCCCTTTGCACCTTTCAAGTGCAAGGTGCTGTTGCAAGACTTGCAAGAACCTGTTCCTGCAATTTTGTTGAGTGCTTACATTCTGGAAGTAGTGAAAAGCTTTTCTACTTCAAGAGTTGTATAACAACAGACGGAGGTGCGGGTGAGATCTCTCAACGTGTAATCAGAGCAAGAATCATGTTTGATGATCTGCGGCATCCCTAGCGCCGGTGCAACATATCCCTCTCACTGAAACAGCATGTGTAATGCGCAACGGTAAGGATCGTGTGGTTCTATGGCTGCGAAACCTGGCCCCTCCGAGCAGATCATGTCCAACGACTATCCGTTTTTGACAACCATCGTCTGCGCAACATCGCCCGCGCATGGTGGATGCATCGCGTAAGTACCGATAGGGTCAGACGACGTGTGTTAGGGTCAAACAGTCTTCCACTGAGCAAAACTTTTTAACTGCACTATGCAGACTGCAACGGCGTGTGCTGTTTTCTGAGGCAGGTGAAGGGTGGAAAAAGCCAAAAGTGATCAAAATCAGACCTGACATGAGGTTATGAAAACTTTGACCAGGTGACTTGCTCACATAGATCGCGTTAGGCTTCTTCGGTGGGGACATCGGGATCAGCGCAAACAACGGTTAGAAACACTGAGTGATACGGTCGAGTGCCGAGCTCGTGCATCCATCCATTATCTTTGCAATCTTAGTCTTCATGAATGCTCTGTTTTCAGAACCGGTACACGAAGGAGCACGGTTAAGGGTTGTAAAAACTGAACTGAACCGGGAGTTAAGTGCGAATGGGAATCACAACCGACCCGGAGTTAATGGAACGACATAGAATGGTAGCCTCAGTATAGTCGGGATGGGTGTCTGGGATTGTGACTGGTCATCGATCTCTGACACCTCGCGAAATGCTATATGACCAAGCGTCTCAGCCTCTGATGATGAAACCCTACTCACTGCCTTCCCGTGGCGGTGTTTTTCCACCAAAGTGAGAGGACGAAAAGCCAACATCCGGGGCTATAACCGGGTTGGTGAACCATCGGCAGTTAATCTAGGGGAGTTGGCCAAAAACCCTGATTCCAAATCAACCAACAAAAGGCATACAAACCACACGCACACCTTCCTGGTCGCGACACTGGTCACCGACTCCATTGGGCACCTTGGGCGTTTGACCCCTTCCAATGGGCGTATGATTCGATGAACTGGACACCGGCCCCCAATGGACTGCGGACTCTGAGCTCCGTCCTGCTGTCTTGCAGATCTGGCTTTCTAGTCAAAGGCTTCGGGTAAGGACCCCGAGGCTAACCCCCTTCCAAGGCCAGGGCAACTCTGATTTATCACTAAAGAATTTTCCGCCTGCAGCCTCAAAAATAATTTGGAAGAATGCAAATGGAATGTTGGCTACCTCCAGACGTTGAAGACAACTCAGTGCAATTTGGTGGGTTTGGCATACTTCGAGGCGATCGAAATGCCAACTTCCCTAACAGAGATGGCAGAGCGGTTACTATCCTCAACAGAAAATGGTGTGAAAACGTTCATCAGTTTTTTCACTCCAGTAGTTCTAGGATTACTTGTATTTTTGTGTATTGCAAGCCGCAATTTCTCAGTCGCTTTTACCACATTACATTTGCTAACATTCACATTGCCCCCGACACGCCTGCCTCTGGTATTCGTATGTTTGTGGACTCTTTCTCCTCTCAACTTGCAATAGGTTTAGACCAGTCTCTACACATTGCGACTGGCGATTTCAACCGTTTGGACATCTCTTTTTCTAACAAACATAGGTATGACAAATATTGTAAATTTTTCTAAATGACTCAGTGTCCAACTTGACGCCATCCGGAAAGCTTTTGTTACAGTAAACCTGCCTTTTTACTAGAGGTCAACTCCAATGTTTTCCGGGCTGGTATTTTATTTACATTCCTCTTATCACTGTGCATCCAAAACTTTCCCATCCCTCCCAACTTTATCGGGTGCAAGTGTGCGGATGACGTGGTGGTTGGTTGTTTCTCAACTGATAGTGTCAGTTTCCGCTAAATTCAAGACTGTCTAAATCAATCTTTTAGTCGATCTTACTCCTCGATCTTTGATGCTCAATGTGTAGAGGTACTTTATAGCCTTAACGCAAGCACTCATTACCAAACCTCTTTTAGTAACCAGCCTGTTATTAACGCTAATATCGCTCCCAAAGGTGACTCTATCAAATATCTTGGAGTTAGTTTGTCACATAATCGTCCTTGGTACAAGTATGTTGAAAAGACTACATTAGAGTTCGTAGATTATCCCTCTACGGTTTTATACTTAAAAAGATCAGCGTTCCCTCAAGTGTATTTCTCAAATTCGTGACAGCCTGCATTCTTTCACACTGGTTGTACTGCTCCCCAGTATTCTTCTAGGTCTGAAGAATAAAGACTTTATCCTCTTTTCCAGATCCCTTAAACCACTTTGATGTTGTAAAGGCATTCCCCAGAACGCCTTGGTTGATTTCATTATGTGCAAGCATTTTGATTCATGTGATACATTTATCATCCATATGCTGCAAAATGAAGAGTATTTCCTGTATGCCCATCTCAACAAATCTGTTTCATATCCGAGTTGGCGTTCCAAATTTAAAATTATTTGTGTACGTACAACCACATACCAAAACAGCATTATCCACTGTTTTCCTCGTATCGTAGTCAACCGAGCAACCATCAGTACTGACTTGGTAAATCACCTGTCACTTTAGCTCTTTATCATATTCATTTGTTTTTCATTTAGTAAATGTTCAATGTTTTTTCCAATGTTTAACTCTATCTTCACTGTAACTCGCCGAAAGTGCTGCAAATTCAGCCTATTTGGTGAATATAAAGCATAACTTGTTCACAATGAACTCACCCGTTTGGCCAAGGCCAATTCATTGTTCAGTCGATTAAGTTCATTCAACAGCCGTTTGTTTTCGCGATCACGTTGACGAAGTTGCGTGTGCAACCGTTGTTGTTGACCGATACTACGCAACGCGGCTAATTTGTTACGCCCGGCCGTATTCGATCCGGAAAATAGGCCTCCACGGATAGAATCGTCATTCTGTTGAGCAAGGAGCATCAATTCGAGTGCGTCCGCATTTTCACCGGACATGACCTGAACGGAAGAATAGCCCCGAGGTGTGCAGAACGGGTTGTTGCAAGGATTGGGACAAGCACGGGGCACGGTCAGTGTGAAATACATGAGAGAACGAAAACAAAATCCCGGTGGAGATTATAAAAGTAACAAAAAGCAATACACCGGTGTTACTTTAGCAGCATTATAAAATAATTAGGACCGGTAGTTATTGGAACGCGCCAAGCTAGACTGCCCAGAATCACAGTGTCCACCACGGCGTGGGAGAGATTGATGAATTTTGAAAACACACCTTCGGATAAGAAATAATTTTGATTTCAGTTAACGGAAATTTCAGCAAACCAATGGAAAAGGGGATCAGAATGTGTGCCCCACCCCAATTAAAAGGGGAAAATTTGGACGAATGGTGGGAAAATATGAAGAGAATAAAATCACACGGTATCAGAACAGGTTTGTCGAAAAGCAAGCGAACGAACAGAGGGAATAAATTGGAATCGGATGTCCGAAACTAGGAAGTATGATCACCTGATAATTCCATGGCGTGCGAAAGACCACCACCACTTGAAGTTGACACTGATGAGGTAACGAAGTGGAGGAATGTTAACTTTGGAAGGGCAGATTCTCATTTTCCTCATACTATCATCATCAAGAGAGTTCACAATGGGACATAAATTACGGTACAGCTCTCAAAGGAATGATGAGTGGGTAATGCTTTTCCCTTTTCACTTGGCTGCACTCAATGTCCGCACACTCTACCAGATCGGTCAACAAACTGCCTTAGCTAGAACTCCTGAAACCTTCCATTTAGATGTATACTGTGTCTCCGAAACAAGCATACAAGACACTACTTCAATCATTTCCTTGAGTTCTCCAGATCCAAACTCATCCTTACGCTTCACTCTCCGTGTGTCAGGCGACTCGTCATCCGAAGCTGGCGGTGTTGCTGGTGTTCGGATTGCGCTGTGTCAAGGCACAGCGTTCACTTCTCGACTGGATCCCGGTTAGCAGCCGACTTTGCGCCGTACGTCTGGATGGTTCAATACGGATCAACAG